TAACTGAAGATGACCATATCTGTGGATTCCATTATTAAACAGTCACTAGGCGACATTAGTTGAACATCTGCTACTACTGAGTTCCAAGGACTACAGTTGCTACTCGCAAATGATCATATTAATAGCATAAATATCATTGTTAATTATTATAGTCATAACATATGACATTAAAACTATCAAAATAAAAAAACTTAATTTCCACTATATTAGTTTTGTGATCAGATATATGTAACCATGGTAACCTTATTATTTATAGTTATAGTTAATGCAATAATGACCAGTGCTTGAAATTGGCACTGGACAAATCAATAATCACGGCATCCCTCATCATCATGATGACACATAAACATGATATTGTCTGCTTGTTATTACTGGAATGAATGAAAGTATATACGGGACCATAAAATATTGAAGGGAGTGAGTATGATTTTACACCTCTTTTAGTAATATTCCAGCAATGTCAGTATGGGGGACACTAGAAAAAGGTTCACATTTTGTTCGCATGTGGGGAATTGAACCAAGGTCTTTGGCGTGACTTGCCAACACTTTAAACACTACACTACCACACCACTAAAAAATATGAACTGTTCAATCCATTAGGGCCATGGGACTGACTGATTGTAATAGTGACGGGTATTGGCCAGACTTACACCAGAATTGGGTGGGGAATCATATTCAAGTTTTCGACAAACACTTTAACCAAAAAAAATACCCCCCACCCAGAGTCGTCAGTAAACTCTAAGTGCCAATAGTCACTGGTCCTTATTTTTTCAACTCAGTCAGTACAAAAAAAACATGAAAATAGTGAACAAGATGTCAAGTTGAACTTAAAATGCAGTCATCTCTATGCAAATGCGGATCGCCAGTCACTTGTGGCGAAACATGGGAACAGCTGGTCCGGCATTTGTTTCATTACCACGATTTGAGTTTTTCAAATACCAAACATCATGTCAACTGTTGAGTTTTCATTTACCATGTTTATGCTAAGTATTATTTTTATGTACATATTCATGATAAAACGGTGACTCATCTTATGTTCATGACAGTTCCATATTTGTTTTATGCTAAACAGCATACCCCATCCAGACCCTCATATACAGACATGGCCAGCTGTAACACTATGACCTTCAAGGGGTACAGGTGGCCCAATCGTCTAAGGCACCGTGATTAGCTATGCAGAGTTGCGTCCCTTGGGCACACCAGAAACCTATGATTGTGGGTTTGAATCCTGGTTTGCCCCGATTATGTTTCTAGGTTTGTCAGCACCATACCCGTGCTTGTGGGTTTCACCGAAGTGGTAAACATCTGAGACCTGCATCACTTCGGGCTTTCCTCTCCCATTAAGCTGACACTCCGTGATATAACTGTAATACTGTTAAAAGCGTGTTAAACCCAACTCACTCATTCACTCATTATGACCTTCAAACAGAGAGGCTCATCACTGATACTGCTGACCATGGATTAGTCCAGGGCTGCCTTGTCAGCATTAAACTAACTGTACACACTCACTCCCTCCCTCTAGCACCCTGGTAGGAGTGAGTGAGGTTAGTTTTACGCCGCTTTTAGCAATATCACGGCAGGGGACACCAGAAATTGGCTTCACACATTGTACCCATGTCGGGAATCGAACCCAGGTCTTCTGCGTGACGAGTTAACGTTTTAACCACTAGGCTACCCGACTGCCCCACCCTGGTAGGACTCTGGGTTACATCAGTTGATCAACATGTGCACAATGATACAAAATGGACAGGGTTGTCAGACTCCATGACTTAGGTGTCGTCATTGTACCCTGTGTTCTTAATACAGTGATCCCTTGCTACAAGGCTACCTTTGGGGTCTAAATAATTGATGAACGTTATAGATGATCAGCGGTTTAACCGGGGTGGAGTTGTAGGGGGTAGATGGCCAGTAAGCATAAGTGAGTGAGTGAGTATGGTTTTACGCTGCTTTAACTAATATTCCAGCAATATCATGGCGGGGGACACCATAAATCGGCTTCACACATTGTACCCATGTCGGGATTCGAACTCGGGTCTTCAGCGCGACGAGCAAATGTTTTAACCACTAGGCTACCCGACCGCCCCAGTAAGCACGAAAGTAAAAGGGTCAATATCCTAACTCTAATGTTCAACATTAAAGATTTAGGGATCCATCGACATGACGGACGCAAATTCTCGCCGGGAAAATCAAAAGGGCCCAGAACACCCTTTTACATGCCTAATTTCCAAATTGCAATATTCAGTTAATTTAAGCTTAGGATACCATAAGGTTTACGAAACAAAGTGTACAGTACATACACCCTGTGCACTCTAAAGAACCCACTCGTCCGACGGTAGATGACCAGATGGTGGAAAACACAAATACGTACATACACCCAAAACACAAGTGTCAAAACTTGTGGTGTCACCGTTAGCAAGTGACTTAGTTCAAATGTGCCTCTGTTCACCCAGCAGGGAATGGGTACCCGATATGTGAGATGGATTATAAACCTTCTAGCGCCTCTAGGCAGCTTGGGGTTTATACTCCCCAGGAGTTGAGAATAATAATTGGAATGCAAATAAACAAATAAAATCGCATTTGAGCAGATACTAGAACCTGGATATAAGCGGTATATAAATTAATAACAATAATAACAACAACAACAACAACAACAACAAAAAGAAAAAAAGATGTTCCTTCTCATCACAGTGAGATACAAAAGGAACATGGTGACAAAGTGAGCGAGTTTGGGTTTAACGCTCCACTGAACAGAATTCCAGTAATAACCCATCTCGTCAGCTGGATGTGGGAGGAAGTCTGAAGTGATGCAGATCTTTGACGTTTACCACTGTGGTGAAGCCCATGAGCATATGATGAGCAAAGGTATGGTGCTGACAAACCAAGAAACATAATCAGGGTGAACCAGGATTTGAACCTACGATCAAATAGACTTTATCCATCTTTTTAACATGCATAATCATGATAATATTACCAGCAAAAAGTAACAAAAATCACATGTTCGAAAAGCTTTTCCCTGGTAATTCTGGATGTTGAACTAAATTTAATGAAATTTTAAATTTGTGTTCATAGACCACCTGGTTTAGGAATAATAGTTTTTTAATGTGTTTAAGAGGAGAGTAAAACAAAATAATGACATTTAGAATTAGAAGTATAACTTACACAGCTGATATAAACACTGATAAACATTTAGTTGGTTATATAACACATCTTCTAATTCTTTTTACATGTGTCTAACATAAACCATGCTCTTGTTGCCCTATGCTCATGTGCATGTTTGCACATTATCAACGTGATAAAGCCAAGATATAAACATTCTATTTAATAAGGAATAAGAGAGTCTGGTTTTATGAGTCTTCAGCAATATTCCAACAATATCATGGAGGGAGGACACTAGAAATGGCCTACAAGCAATAACTTGAACCCAGGTCTTCCGTTTGATAAGTGAATGGTTTTCCACTAGACTAGGATTGACTATGCAACCATCTCCTATTTAATGACGATTGTGTATACAGCAAAAAGCTATAAATTAGAGTAACCCATTATCATAGACTGAATTAGAAATAATAAACATTGCATATCGATTCAAATTTGTGATAACCATGATAACAGCACACCACCACAATAACTTCCTTAGACTAATTTCTCTTCAGCATGTTCAATTTAATGAGACTATAGACCCTATTCCTATTGAGCTAAAAATGTCTTTTTATCAAAGTCTTTACGAAGTTTGATATAGGTTAGTGGACACGTTTGCCTTGGTATGATGACTCCCTCCATACATGGTACTTTGAGTGAAGACCATTTTATACGTTCCCCCACCGTGATCTTACTGACATAAAATTGAACTCAATCACACAAGATCTACAACTAATATTAAGCTTGCCTGCTTGGATATACAGCTATTACGGAAAATGTTTCCCATACCAAACACACCTTACAGAAAACAAATCTGATTTTACTCATTTATTTTGTACCAGCCTTCTTTCGTTTCTAGGGATTTTCATGAAGTCCACGTGCATGATCACCAACCGTCTCTCTCTGAACAAGAATCTGTTAGGTTTGATTCAGTCTGAGCGCATACAGCCAAAATGGATGTACGCCGTTATATAGCGTATTATACAACAATGTCATACCTACTACAGAACACAAGGCACATACACAAGGTAATAATGTTTAATATTTATTTCACAGTCACCATGGTGATGAAGTTTGTTATTCAAATTGCATAAAAATAGATCAACCTACCCTTATCATCCAGTCACTGCTCAGATTCTGACATGATTCTAATTATAATGATTAGTCCTAGAAGGATGGGCAAAGGACAGTGAAACCTAGTTTCATAGTTACACACATCACAGACTAACATACAGTCTATGAAATCTTTTATTACACAATACATTCCTCTATCACTGTCTATTCTAAAATAAAAACAAATAATTTTCCTAATGCCAATTTGGCTAGAGCTGGATAGACTTGCTTTTGTACATATATCTAGATTAGTTTTGTTTCATAAAATAAATACATACCGCAGTCATAGTGCATGAGTTTCATATTATGTAAGCTCTTTGACTTCAAAGATCGAACAAATTTAAACTTTTCATCCATCTGACATGTCTAATACCTGAAGTTTCCCACAGTTCATACACAGCGAGCACAAAGTAGTAATTGTGGTCATATAAGACACGTCTAGTCTTCCAATGATAAATGACTGTATGTACGTAATAACACTGAAAACAAATCATGTACGACCCTCTTCACCGACATCTCGCAGTCACCTGCCATGGTTTCGCTTACCAAAATGCAGAATGTGCCAGCACGACCGCGCGTGCCTATAACCTTGATTACGCACGTGAATGATGCTTGTGTGATGAAATAGATACGTTACACATGTTTACAAACCAAAACAAAGAGCACGTGGGCGAAGAAATAAACAAGTGTACGTCTGTCAATCATCACTGACGTGAACAAAGAGCCGGTTATGCGAGACGCTCGGTACCTACCTATGACATCGACAGCTTTGTTCCTTGAAATGAAATAAGCATCATCTCCAAATGCCCATTTTCTTGTGTTCGTAGATTTGGTTATTGTCTTCGAAAATCCTGAGGATCCAGTAACCAATTGTAAAGGTTCCCTAGCTCTTTCTCTCTGAATCTGTAGTTCACTGTGAATTCCTGTTGCGATCGCTCGGGCAAGAAGCCTGCCATACAGCGCTACCGAGTGCATGACAAGGTGTCTTCACATCACCATGAAAACCTCCTCTGTCACATCCTCCTGAGACGAGTTTATCGCTGTATACTAACCACATGCGTGTATGTCCTATCTCAGCTGGTCACCGCCATCTTTGTCTCCTTCGTGACGTCACATGACCTTTGGATCCAAAGGGAGGTAAAGTGTGCCAAATAGACTTTCCTGCGGTTGTTCCTACTTTCTTCGAGTGTTACAAAATTGAAGAATACGGTTAGATTAGACATAAAAAGAGTGTATTCGCCCGCGATTTCATGTCACATATGAACTGTTTTTATTTGTCAATACAATCGTCACTATCTTTTTTATTCATTTCACGAAGGAATCGAGGGGACTAAATAAAGTGTATTTGTGCGTCTGAGAAGCACGAGTGATGGAACGGATATTTATATACCATCACGTGTTATGTCATGCATGTTCATAAGCAATTACGTAGAAAAACATATTAAGCTTGGTGTTTAGGCACATTATGCTAGCATCCATTACTGAATCACATATAATAATTTATGTGCGTACGTAATTTAGTAAATAAAATATAGTAAAATCGATATTCTCAACCTTTCAGAATGAAAATGGAATATATTTCAACAAACCGTTTGTTTCAGCCATATTCCAGCTATATGACGGCGGTCAGTAAATAATCGGGTATGGACCAGACGATCAACTGATCGACATCATGAGCATCGATATACGCAACTGTAATACGATGACATGCGTCAACCATGTCAGCGAGATGCTAGAAAACTAAACTTAAGTAAAACATTAATCCAAGTTGTATTTTCATGCGAGTTCTATTTTTAAAATTAAAAAAAAGTATGATATTTTTATTTACGTGATGATATCGGCGTTAAACAAAGGAAAAGCACTGTTGCGAGCCGTTCGATAAAAATGAATTAACAATTCCGTTTCAATACACCATAACCAGTCTATGTAAGATACGTTTCATCCCAACGCGTACGATTCTGTAACGAAAAAACATGGATGATCAATGATGCGCCTAAAGAATTCTTTTTTAGGCGAAACAATATATTTCAGAGATATATATCATACCATGCACACCAAGCAGGGAATCTTCTAGGTTGTAGTGAGTGAGTATAGTTTTACGCCGCTTTTATCACTATTTCAGCAATATCATGGCGGGGGAAATGGGCTTCGCGGATTGTTTGTTTGTTTGTTTGTTGTTTACGCAGCACTCAGCATTATTCCAGCTATAAGACGGTGGTCTCGATACATAATCGAGTCTGGACCAGACAATCCGGTGATTGAAATCATGAACATCGACCTACGCATTTGGGATACGATGACCTGCATCAACCAATCCAGGTGGCCTGACCACCCGATCCCGTTAGTCGCCTTTTACGGCAAGAATGGGTTGCTTAACCACATAATCTACCCGACCGCCCCTTCTGTTTGTTATCACACAGGCCGTGCATTCTTTTGTATTAACTGTGCTGTAATTTCAGTCGCTGGTTTGCCTGGCCCAGATTGTTATTTGAAAGCAGCCGTCTTATAGCGTGGATATTGCTGACTGCGGGTGAAAATTGAAAATTTCAAGATACATTCTAAGCTGAAATTTGAAGATAATAAGTTGAAATTTCAAGATTTTAACTTTAAATCTCAACGTATGTTACGTGTATCTTAAAATATCAACTTAGAATCTTGAAATTTCAATATAGCATTTTAATTAGTATGTTGAAATTTACAACATTAAAAAGTGGCCCTGAAAGGCTTCCGTACAGATTCATGTTTGTCATCGGGGTTTGATAACACACAATCAGCCAAACCACCCGAACTACAGTAGAACACGGATATAACGAACTGATTTCTCTGGTCCCTTGTAGTCCGTTATATCCGTGTTCTACTGTATATACAACAGCGCTGGATACTAATTCTCGTCGTCAGCGACAAAAAGGAACTGGGGGCCTGTTCTGACCGGAATCTTCAAGGGGGTTGAATTCCATCCATGAAAGGATAGCATACGGGTGACGATATGGCTATGACTATATACTGTTCTGTTTTAACTATCCGCCATTCAATAACCATGCAATAAATGTCGGCTATTGAAGGTATATATGTTTACACATCTACAACTTCACACCTCATAACGATACTTTAACAGCTATTACATTGCAGTCAGCAATAAACATATTTCATTCCGAGCGATGGTTGTTCCGTTTAAAACAAGCAGATATTGTGTCCGCGTGGATGGCGAAACAATGTAACGGTGGAGTGGATAAAGTATATATGTGTTAAATAGGACACATGCGTGTTAGATATGCTAATTTATGTACATGCCGAATACTATGGGGAGGGCAATGTTGAAGTGTTTGTCAGGCATGTAAATAAACCTACATGCAAACTGTGTATATATGCAGGCTTATGTCGACGTGATATGCCTGGGGGCATGAGCTCGCCAGTCACGACAAATAACGGGTCGACATGAGGTCCTATGACGGACAAAAATATTCTGCCTCAAGCACACATCCCAATGTCGGTGGAAAGCCCGGGGCGATGCAGCGCTTAGATATCTACCACTGAAACGGTGTCGACAAACGATGGCGATTCAGGGGAATTCAAAACTTGCAAAGCGAACTGCGACGTCTGAGACGACCCCCTTTAAATATTCAGCACTGAGTCTTTGCACTGCAGGTACGTAGGAGCCTGTGTGTGGGGCCAAACCGCACCCACCCACCCACACACACACGTAACAAGTTTGTCAGTACTTTGAGGAAACGGACCAGGGAAGAAGCAACACCTGTCTTGGCTACAATGCAGAAGTAGGCCGTCAGACTCTAGAAAACGTTCCACATCTTCCTCCGTTCCCCAGCTTGAAGAGTTCCCACTATCGACATCCCCGAACAACAATCCCTGTCCTGCTACAGACCAGAGCTGATGTACACCTTGAGGGGCTGTAAACTACTACAAGGGATGACAGAAGATTCCTCCTCTGCGCAGACGGTGAAGAAGACAAGATCCTGATCTTTTCCACTGATGAGCAGCTGAGGTGTCTTGCTGAAGTTGATCAATACGGTCTACATGGATGGTAGTTTTCCTGCTGTCCTCACCTGTGGAACCAGGTGTACACTGTACATGCTCGCAGTGGATACACCATGTACCCTCTTGCGTTCGTCCTATACTGCATAGGTGAGGTGAAATTGGGTTTAACGTCGCGTCCAAGATTATTGCACTTATATAGCGACGTGCATGCACGTGTGTGAGTGTGTGTGGCTGCTTGTCCTAGTCCGGACTGATGCCGATTTATAGTGCTAGCCCACTGAGATACCATGCCGCAGTGTAACATGAATACCCCACTCAGACACAGTATACTGACTCCGAGCCGACCAGTGCTTGTTTTAGCCCCTTAATGCCGAGCGCCAGACAGGGTAACAACAAGTACCATCTTTTAACGTCTTTTGGTATGACGCGGCCGGGGAACCTGCTGCAGAACCGACAACAGACGACATACGCCAGATTCTTCACTTTGCTGAAAACAGAGGCACAGCAGACTCCCAACCGACCCTTCTCACCAGCTACCGTACAGACAGACTTTGAGATGGCGGTCATTCGAGCGATCGAATGTGAATTCCCAACAGCAGACATCAAGGGGTGTTTTTTCCACTACACCCAGGCTATATGGAGGAAGACTTATACCTTGGTTTAGCTGTCCAGTGAAGGAAGATCCCCGGGTGCAGAGCTGGATACGAAGAGCAGCTGGACTCCCCCTTCTTCCTCTTCCTGAGGTGCAAGGAGCCTGGCTGGAGGCGATGGATGCGACACTTGAGGTGGCAAGGTCCAAAGATGTTAACGATTACATGGTGACGTGGGTTGACGACGACGCCCGTTGCCGACTCCCCCTTTGGAATCATCACCACACAGTAGGACCTTGGACAAACAACAACCTGCATATAGTGTCTTTTGCAATAATGTAATGAATACTTCAAAAAGTGTGATTTCTGGTATGATTTGACGATTAAAAGTGCATAATAAACCTATCCTGTAAATTCCTCAAACTTCGTGATTTCTGGTCTGTTCCACTTTAATGAAAGGTAAACTGGTAACTATTGCTTGACTAACCAACCTTGACTAATCCTGGTATAAGTTGTCTGACAAATGGGATGTCTGACAATTGGGAGGTTACCGCCTGCAATACGGCAGTTTTATGACACCTTATTAATTTAAAAATATATTCTTTTCAAGATCCTGTTGTGGTTAAAGAAGCGTTCGTTCGTCACACGGAAGGCCCGGATTCGACTCCCACACCTGGTACTTTAATTGTGTGTGGGGACCATTTCACACGTCCCCCACCGTGATATTACTGACATAAAATCGAATTCAATCACTCAAGAACTAACATTAAGCTTGCCTGCCCGGATATACGACTTATTTCGGAAGTTGTTTTCCTTACCAAATATACCATATAGAAAAGAAATCTGATTTTACTCATTTATTTTGTACCAAGAGAAAATATGGTATTTTCGTCAGGAAATCGACATACCCACGAAACAATAAAGTCTCGGGGGGGGGGGGTGAGATTGAGAAAGGTTTATGCATTAACTATTTATAGGCACATCAAGCTTCTATTACGTGAAAATCTCATATGAATGACCCTCATGGATTCAGTAAAGTGTGAAATACACCACTAAGCACGTGCAGAACGTGCAGCACAGACATGTGAAGTGTGTCATCAGCCTTGTTTCGTTTCTCGGGATTTTCACGAAGTCCACGTGCATGATCACCAACCGTCTCTCTCTGAACAAGAATCAGTTAGGTTTGATTCAGTCTGAGCGCATACAGACTAAATGGATGTACGCCGTTATTTTCCGCATCACACAACAATGGCATACCTACTACAGAACACAAGGCATATACACAAGGTAATAATGTTTAATATTTCCACCCCCGTCCTTTGATATGATAGACCTCGGGATATTGTAATGAGTCTTATTGGGGATCGGGTGGTGAGAGCCGCGAGGGCCATGTCCGACAGTCAAGGACACCCTGGTTCTCGGCTTGGTGGCAATGGGTGGTCTGACTGATAGTGTGTTATCGTACACCCATAATGTGTTTGTTGCTCATGTTATCGACCACTGGTGCGCCTGTCTTGTAAAGATGGAGCTTTGATGACTGTGGCGAAAATGTACCCACAAACGAAAGAAAGACAAGAGCGCATTCACCAAGGGAGGGGTCTAAAATATCAATAAATATATAATTTACTCACACTGTCGAATAAAAAAGGAAATTGTTAATGAATCATATACTCTCTCTCTCTCTCTCTCTCTCTCTCTCTCTCTCTCTCTCTCTCTCATATTAAGCCTACCACAATTTGATATTATATACGTGTGTTTGACTGAAGGAAGGTCACAGCCACCCCGCAGGGGCTACCAGCGGTCAGGCGTTGCGGGGGTCATAAACACTGGCTGATGGTCTGCTATATAATACAGGTCAACGGGTCACAGAGTGAATATATATATATATATATATATATATATATATATATATATATATATATATATATCGACTTAAACATTACATGATACATACACACCAAAACCTACCCATGACCCTTAAGCTTCTTACCATATAAATCATATCTTATGTAACGAAAAGAAATAGCCAGAATTAATGGAGAGAGAGAGAGATTTAGATACGTGAATGAGTATGTTTTTACTCAACATGTTTGGACTGTATTAGTGCTGTTCATTATTTTATTCAGAGTAAAAAAAGTCGGAGTTATAAAAAAAATTCACCGTCACCCAATTGATGTTGAGTTGATTGCGTAAAACACGCAAAAGGTTTTTGAAAAAGTTTTTTTAAAATAAAATAGTATATACACCGCGCTTCACAAAGGCGCTGCGTCTCGCTTAGTGTAATTAGACGAGTATACAACTGTTATCTACATGCTGGACAGCAGACGAACATATGCAAAATAGATGTCACGTGAAACAGCATTTCAAGCAGAACTTTACAAAAATAAGTCAACTGATGATGCGGAGTGAGTGAGTTGGGTTTAACGCCGCTTTTAACAGTATTCCAGTTACATCACGGCGTGTCAGCTTAATGTGGGAGGAAAGCCCGAAGTGATGCAGGCCTCAGGCGTTTACCACTTCGGTGAAACCCACGAACATGGGTATGGTGCTAACAAACCTAGAAACATAATCGGGGCGAACCGGGATTCGAACCCAAAATCATAGGTTTCTGGCATGCCCAAGGGACGCAACTCTGCACAGCGAATCGCGGCGCCTTAGACGACTGGGCCATCCGTGCCCCCTAATGATGTGGAAATACCCTATGTGAATGATAACATGTGAATAAAAACTCACTGCCTAAAAGCGTTATCTGGAACCCTGCAGACTGCATGTCATCATATTTTAAACTGAACACACATATTCTGTACTAATACACAATATCATATGGTACATTTTGTTATCGGTTTGAACACACATTTTCAGATATTCCATCTATCCTTTAATATGTTGGCATAACAACTAAATGCGTTCAACCATGATCAATATAATTTAATCAGCACGCGTGTAGATTGTTTTGTGATATAACATTGCTGTTCGCATTAAATAAATAAACATAATTCATATCCATTAACATTATTGGAAAATATCCACAGCGACCTTGCAGGGGCTTGTCGTGAATGTGTGTAGTTCCTGTCGCCATGTTGAATCAATGTAGAAAGAATTCCGCCTGCATGCAGATATCTCCGCGAACGGTTGTAGACGTTCTGATGCGACCTATACAGCAATATTCGAACGCCTCCGTGGTCTAGTGAATAAAGTATCTGCCCGGAAAGCGGAAGATCGGGGTTCGATCCCCTGGCCGCGTCATACCCAAATACCTTAAAAGATGGTACTTGTTGCCCTATCTGGCGCCCGGAATTAAGGGGCTAAAACAAGGACTGGTCCCTATATAAGTGCCATAATCTTGAACGCGACGCTTAACCCCATTTCACCTCATCTAAAGCAACATTCACTTACTCACTGACTGTTTGTTCTGTACCCGTGAAGATCCGGGGTAGAATAGATCTTCAGCAACCCATGCTGGCTATAAAAGGCGACTATGCTTGTAAGAGGCGACTAACGGGATCGGGTGGTCAGGCTCGCTGACTTGGTTGATACATATCATCGATCCCAATTGCGTGGATCGATGCTCATGATGTCAGTCACTGGATTGTCTGGTCCAGATACGATTATTTACAGACCACCGTCATATAGCTGGCAGCGTTAAACAACAAACAAACAAATATTCCGCTCCGGCATGCAGTTCAAAGGCTGTTCACAATGATCACATGTTTAACACTCTTGTGTAGCCTGTTAACCTCTTAATGTAGTAACTGCTCTTTTTCAGAACTTCCTATAACAAGATGGATAATCCAGTAAGTTCATATTACAATTTGTTTGATTTTATGTTTGTTAGTATGCAGGCGCCAATAAATAAAACATCACCAGTGAGTGAGTGAGTGAGTTTGGTTTACGCCACTTTGAACAGTAATTCAGTTATATCACTGACTTTGTCAAAGGAAAACCCGAGGTGATGCAGGTCTTTCTTAGACGTTTACCCCTTTGGTGAAAGCCAGGGGCTGGTTATGGAGCTGACAATCTTAAATATAAACACAGAGAATGAAATTCGAAACCACGATCATAGGTTTCCAGCACGCCTTAGGGATGCACAGTGAGTTGCCTGGACAACTGGATCACTGTGGCTCTTAATTAGTGATAATTGAGTGAGTGAGTTGGGTTTAACGCAGCTTTTAATAATATTCCAGTTATATCACGGAGTGTCAGCTGAATGTGGGAGGAAAGCCCGAAATGATGCACTTCGGTGAAACCCACGAGCACGGTATAGTGCTGACAAACCTAGAAACATAATCGGGGTGAACCGGGGTCATTCGTGATAATACCTGTATTGCTACAGAGGTCTAATGAAGCTTTAAAATGTAATATATTCTCAAGAGCTTTGTCTAGGTTAAGTACACTGTATAAAGTATATACAGACATTTGTCACAGACAGAAGATATTTAGAGGGCTGATTGAGCCAACTGTTTTTTGTTGTATACAATACTTGTTTCAGGCAATACCATCCTTAAAAGGGTCTGGAAAGCGGGCTGCTAATTTCAGAGAAATGGAGAGCAAAGTGTCCTCCGACATTGACAAGTTCTTCACTGTACCAGAAATGGCAGCATTGTCCGACTATGAAAAGCTGAGACTGAGAAACATGAGGAAAAACTATGAAATGATGGCACTTCTAGGTGATTCACTGATTTTGTATATATGTCATTTCTGTGCACTATTTGTCAGTACCCCTGAAGATCCGGTGTAGAATGGGTCTTCAGTAACCCATCCTTGTCGTAAGAGGCGACTAACGGTATTGGGTGGTCAGGCTCGCTGACTTAGTTGATGCATGTCGTCGTATCCCAATTGCGGGGATCGATGCTTATGATGTCAATCACTGGATTGTCTGCGCCAGATTATTTATAGACCACCGTCATATAGCTGGAATAATGCTGAGTGGGGCCTTAAACAACAAACGAACAAACACAGCAATGCATGGGCAGCATTAAGATAATGACGTCTATGTTAATATGTGGGAGTTATGATGGTCTTTGCGGCTTTGTGCATGTGAGCTCAGACTAGAGGAACTTGTTAGTGGTCATAGGGGATATATATTTTTATTTACTGACTAACAACTATATAGTTCCAATGGCCCAGACCAAATATGGTTGACTGACGTCCATTTATCAAGCACATCGCTCAACGGAAGTATCCAAGGAAATATGATAATTATTTCTCCAAGACATACAGGACAAAGTAAAACGTTCGAAAATTTATTGCATTTAAAACATAGTAATTCGTGAAGTTTTTACAGTTTCTAGTGGGCTGCACTTTGTATGACCCTTTGGTAATGTTTTTAAAGTTATCTCCCTTTGTTAATGCTTTTGAAATGTCTCCCATTCAAAAGACCGTGAAAGACCAAGAAAACTGAACAAGTGAATGACACAGGACATTCCCAATGTTTCATGGTTGAAGGTATGCCGGTGATGAAGCCTGATTTCATGAAGACTCCTAAAAGGGAAAAGAAACGGATGATGAAGTACGATGACGTTGCTTCTGTTTCCTCTGATACTGATGACATGTTGGCTCATCAAACTACTGTCAGAAGGAGTGTTCGAGGTATGAATGTGTAAAATATAGACCAATTTTAATTAGTCCATAATAATGATTATTGAGTTAGCGTTAATGATGCTTTGGACGGTATTTCACTTTTAATCCCATAGTGTCAGCCTCACTTATGTACAGCGATATGTAGGTCTTTGGTGCCTTTGAAAACCTGTGAGCAAGGCTGTGGTGCTGACAGCCTGTACAAGTTTGTTATCAGGGCGAAATCATAGGATACTGGCACACAGCAAATACCGGCCCATTATGGTAGACGACTTGTCAACTCCCTTCCTCATTTGGATAATTGTACACAATTCTTTAGCTTGTGGGAATCTTCTGGTAGACCATCTGCAGGAACCTCATTCAGATAGGGACACAGTCTCTGCCATCCACAGTTACGCCCCGGAGTGAAAGACAATGATCTTCCGGCAGTGACACACAGACACATGATGGACATGCTCCTGTCTTGGCAACACAGGTACTTGTATTATGATATAAATAGGAGTGTCGGTAGGAGAAGTTATTGCGAATGCCACTAGTAGCTAGAGAAGCTAATTTTAACAACCTCAGAACCAATCAAATGGTTGTATAACCGTCTGGGATTCCCTGGAATTATTTCTGACAGGAGACTGTTGCCCAGTTTCACGCTGTGCACTGATCAGTCTGATATAAGCCAGAGTGTGATGCAGAGTGCCACTTTTAGCAACAGAGGTAAGTTTACCATATTCGACGTAATAAACGCCCAGGCGCTCTCAAAATTAAAAATAGGGGGCCCTTATTAGAATATTATTTTGTTGAAGAAAACAGAGTTGAAAGATTGTACATTTCGTGGTTTATGCTGTCAGCCTGCAATGATACAAAAGAAAAGTCTGTGTGTATTATACACGACAGATATATTTTCCAGAATTAAATTACCTATAATCAATTTATAACGGTGCATTTAATACACGAGTGCGTATTATACACAAATAAATATGTCTTGTGTACATTGATCAATCGGAAGGGGTGCCAATTGGGATTGTTCACTAGCCATTATATTAGCAAATATCGCCGTGGGTGCTTATTACGTTGAATACGGTACATCTTTTCTGCAGGTTGTGCCCCATGTGGATTCCAAGAAAGTAGCATCTCCCGTACCCAATGCTTGTTGTAAGATTGGGTGGTTACAACGTGTACAGTGTTTGACCTGGCTGATTGTGTCATCAGACCTGTGAAGTTCCATGGTAGAAGAGGTGTTCAGCAACTCATGCTTGCCGTAAAAGGTGACTATGTCGTAAGAGGTGACTAACAGGATCCGGCTCGCTCACTTGGTTGATGCATATCATTGTTCATAATTGTGTGGATCGATGCTCATGTTGTCAGTCACTGTATTTTTTGGTCCGGACTCAATTATTTACAGACCTCTGTCTTATAACTGGAATATTGCTGAGTGGGGCGTTAAATAACAAACAAACAAAAATGATTGTTGTGTCATCATGCACCAAAGACATGAATTGTTGATCATCTGTTCAAGCAATGGTCCCAATGGACACAGATTCGGTTATTCACGCCAAACAACTTGCAGTCTTACTTCAAATGTTAAAGTTGCGTTTAGGTGCTCTAACCATGTTTATGGCTTGCGGTTCATGGTTTTTTTACTCGTTGACTTGGTGGATGCATGTCATTGTATCCCAATTGCTTAGATCGATGCTCATGATGTCAATCAGTGGATTGTCTGGTCCAGACTCGATTGTTTACAGACTGTCGTCATAGAGCTGGAATATTGCTGAGTGAAGCATTAAACAATAAAAAAACCAACCAAACAAACATTGGAACATACGCCTGTTTTCTGTTTTCCCCATTCTCCTGTGGTACTGGTGATATATTGCTAATTCTTGCTATAAATTTCAGCATCCAAGCCTTTTGTTCCATATGATGCATCAGTGTCAAGCTTTACATCCAGACTAAAACTGAAGAAGAATGACACCCACTCAACATCCAAGGTATCTTGATCATGTTAATTATGGAAACATCTTGAAATGAATCCTCTTAGTCGAGGAATATCAGAAATGAAATAGCTGAAACTGTGTGTGAATCAGATAATGACTGAAAGTCAAGTGAGCTTTGTTTACTAATCAAAGTTTTATCATTATGAAGATGATTGTCAATAGTATGGTTATGACTATTACACCATTCAAAACACTTTTGACTCCCCCAGCCAAAATTTTGTGGACATATTAGTGTTTTCACATGGTCTATTGTTAGCTGATCTAACAAGACAGAACATAATTTTACTAGTCACAGGCTTCAGAGTAGTGGTTAAAGTCAAAGACTGACTTGACATCGCTGAAATTACAAGGCCAATGAAGTTCCACCAAGCTGACACTAAACACACTCACAGAATTCCAATCAGATTTTAAACCTGGCTGTCATATTGAAAATATTCTACATGTATCAGTATGAAATTTAGTTTGTGGTATGACTAACGCATGTTATATTTTGTTTTATTGTCATATTTATGACTACTTCAACCTTACTATAGGGGCTGTGGGGTAGCCTAGTGGTTAAAGCCTTTGCTCGGCACGCTAACAACCCAGGTTCGATTCCCAACATGGGTATAATGTGTGAAGCTCATTTCTGGTATCCCCCGACATGATATTGCTGGAATACTGCTAAATGCGGCATAAATCCATACTCACTGTCATGTCAAGGGTCAAGGTCATCTACAAGGTTATAGCTAAAACAGAAGTGGAGTTTTTGAACTGGAAGTGCTCATAACTTTGTTTTTAAGATAGTCTAAGGCATGGGACTTTTAAGTTGTACAACATTTGGTTTGTAAATCGGGAAGTGATGTTGTTAAACCAGAAGTGCTCATAACTTGTTATTAGTGTTGCACAAATAAAGGACTGTACTGCATTTGACACCATTAGCAAGACTTGCCGTTAAAGGCAACTAACGGGATCTGATGGTCAGGCTCGCTGACTTGGTTGATGCATGTCATCGACCCCAAATGCATGGATCGATGCTCACGATATCAATCACTGGATTGTCTGGTCCAGACTCGATTATTTACAGACCACCCTCATATAGCTGGACTATTGCTGAGTGCGGCGTTAAACAACAAACAAAACAAAACAAAAAGAGTAGGGATCAAAGATGTGAAAAGACAGATATTGGCGAAGTAAGCTGTCAGCTGATTGGATAAAGTCAAAATGGTTAAAGGCACATGTATGTTCCTAGTGATTTGGGGACATTTAGGTAATGGTTGGTATGGGGTTGCTTCTGTTTTTGCATGTAATACAAAAAACCTTTCTTGTATACTTGTAACCCATATATTGCTTTCATTCATTACTCTTGACCTTTCTAATGTAAAATGATTCAGAAATAGACCGCCTCTGTGGTCTAGTGGTAGAGCATCCGCCCGGAGAGCAGAAGGTCCGGAGTTCAATCCCCGGCCGCGTCATACCAAAAGACGTTAAAAGATGGTACTTGTTGTTACCCTGTCTGGCCCTCGGCATTAAGGGGCTAAAACAAGGACTGGTCGGCTCGGAGTCAGTATACTGTGTCTGAGTGGGGTATTCATGTTAAGCTGCGGCATGGTATCTCATTTAGCTAGCACTCTAAATCGGCATCAGTCCGGACTAGAACAAGCAGCCACACAAACACACACACGTACATGCAGGTCGCTGTATAAGTGCAATAATCTTGGACGCGACGTTAATTTCACCTCACTTGATTCAGAAATGTTCAGGTGAGCTACAGATTTTTTTTATGATTTATGATATATTCTATATTTGAGTGAATAGTTATTCTTAGGAATCATGATCAGGTGACCGAAAAGGACCCTTATGAAGAAAACCTTCCTCTGGTGAAGAGACCCCAGGATAATAAAATGGACGTTGGCATGCAGGCTAATGATTGTTTTCTGGGTAAGTTTGTCCAGAAAAGATATTTTTAATGTGGATACGCAAATGAATGGTGTTCGTCCAATGTTACGCTATCACTGTGTGATAGCCATGCCATCTATAGGACAGCTTGAAATTGGAGATGGGACATCTGTAACTTGTTTGTAGGAGTCCATTGAAACATGTCAGGAGCAGTGAGCATGATCAGAGTGCCTGTATCATGTCATGGAAAATTGTGGGGCATGAGGTGTCAAGTTGTCTAAGGCACAACAATTTGCTATGCAGAGTTGCATCCCTTGGCACGCCAGAAGCCGATGATCGTGGGTTCAAATCCCGGCTGGCCCCAGTTTTTTTTGGTTTTTTTGGTTTTTTTCCTGGTTTGTCAGCACCATGGGTTTTACCAATGTGGTAAACGTCTGAGACCTGCATCCCTTTAGGCTTTCTTGTCACATTAAGCCAACGATATAACTGGAATAATGTTCAAAGGAGCGCTAAACCAAACTCACTCACTAATGAAAAATTGGTCATTGATGTGAAGAATTCTCTACAGGCTCTTGACTACTGAGTCTACAACAGCACTTACTGTAGACTCAATAGTCAAGACACATCATCTCACTGAGCAGGGCTTACCACACTTTTCTCATACCTCTGTCACAGCTAGGTCATCTGTTTTATCACCAGTGTGTCTCATGTCATCGCTTTATCATAGTTATATTATGATTTTATCATTGCTTTATCACAGCTACATCAAACCCGTGAAGATCCGGGGTACAGCAACCCATGCTTGTCGTAAGAGGCGACTATGCTTGTCGTAAGAGGCGACTAACGGGATCGGGTGGTCAGGCTCGCTGACTTGGTTGATGCATGTCATCGACCCCAAATGCAAGGATCGATGCTTATGATATCAATCACTGGATTGTCTGGTCCAGACTCGATTATTTACAGGCAACCCTCATATAACTGGACAATTGTTGAGTCCTAATTTGCCTGCCAAGGGCACTTGATTAAAATACCTCAATACACTTTACATAGTTATGAGAATAAGTGGAAGTTTCAAAATCATCATTATGAGAACAAATGACAGTTTTTCCTATCATTGTTTTGAAAATATGTTGCTGTTTCTTAAACATAATGTCGTATATTCAGTTCACACTGTTTGGGATCAAACATCAATTTCAAACACTTTTTTTTGTATTTCAAATTTCTCTCCAGACATGTACCCATGTGACAGTCGTGACCTGAGTCTTTCATCTGTGGTGTTGTCAAGGATACATCTGAAGAAAAAACATGAAGTAAAAAACGTGACTTCTAGATTTAGTGCAGACAATGAGACCCGTAGCATCCAAGATGTTACAGAGAAAACTGAAAGCCAGGAACAGAGTAATAGTGATGCTACTTCAAAGGATACAGAATGTGAGGGAGCATCTCTAGTAACCATGGTAACTAGCAATCCCCAGAAACACAAGAAGAGTTATAGCGAGACTGCTTCAATTGATAAAGAGTGTGAGGGAGCATCTATAGTAACCATGGCAACTAGCAAGCCCCAGAAACACAAGAAGAAGAGAAAAAGTGATACTACTTCAAAGGATACAGAGTGTGAGGGAGCATCTATAGTAACCGTGGTAACTAGTAATCCCCAGAAACGCAAGAAGAAGAGTAATAGCACTACTGCTTTGAAGGATACAGAATGTGAGGGAGCATCTATAGTAACCATGGCAACTAGCAAGCCCCAGAAACACAAGAAGAAGAGTAATGGTAATACTACTTCAAAGGATACAGAGTGTGAGGGAGCATCTATAGTAACCATGGCAACTAGCAAGCCCCAGAAACACAATAAGAAGAGAAAAAGTGATACTGCTTCAAAGGATACAGAATGTGAGGGAGCATCTATAGTAACCATGGCAACTAGCAAGCCCCAGAAACACAATAAGAAGAGAAAAAGTGATACTGCTTCAAAGGATACAGAATGTGAGGGAGCATCTATAGTAACCATGGTAACTAGTAATCCCCAGAAACACAAGAAGAAGAGTAATAGCACTACTGCTTTGAAGGATACAGAATGTGAGGGAGCATTTATAGTAACCATGGCAACTTGCAAGCCCCAGAAACACAAGAAGAAGAGAAAAAGTGATACTGCTTCAAAGGATACAGAATGTGAGGGAGTATCTGTAGGAACTGGCAATGCCCAGAAACGCAAGAAGAAGACCCGGTCTCATGAGTGTAAACAGTGTGGGAAAACCTTCACGCGATCAAATACTCTGCTTGCCCACACAAGGTCTCACAGTGGAATCAAACCTTACCAATGTGGTGAATGTGGAAGATCATTCACAGCATCGGGCACCCTGGAGAGACACTTCAGATGTCATAGGGGCCTCAAGCCTCATCTCTGCAGTGTGTGTGGGAAAACATTCGCCCAGTCAATGGCGCTCACGATACACATGAGGTGTCATAGTGGTGACAAGCCTTTTGTGTGTTGTGTGTGTGAGAGAGCATTTGCACAATCATGTGACCTGCAGACACACATGACATGTCACAGTGGAACCAAACCTTATAAGTGTAAGGACTGTGGCAAACGATATACACAATCAGGTAGTTTGCTGAGACACGTGAAGCGTCACAGAGGCATCAAGCCCCATAAGTGTAGTGTGTGTGAGAGAGCATTTTTGCGATCAGCTTACCTTCGCAGACACATGAAGCTTCTTCACTTTGATGACTCTTCCTCCTTATCAACTGGAGGCAGTCGGGTAGCCTAGTGGTTTCGCTCGTCATGCCGAAGACCTGCGTTCGATGCCTGACATGGGGACAATGTGTGAAGCCCATTTCTGGTGGCCCCCCACCGTGATATTGCTGGAATATTGCTAGAAGCGGTGTAAAATCAAACTCACTCACTCTTTATCAACTGGATAAAGTACTTATTCATTTCTATAGGTTATTTCTATATATTGTCAAGCAATGTATTTATACTTGTTGGAGGGGGCACGGGTGGCCCAGTCGTCTAAGGTGCCGCGATTCGCTGTGCAGAGTTGCAGCCCTTGGGCACGCCAGAAACCTATGATTGTGGGTTCGAATCCCGGTTCGCCCCTATTATGTTCCTAGGTTTGTCAGCACCATACCCGTGCTCGTGGGTTTCACCGAAGTGGTAAACGTCTGAGACCTGCATCACTTGGGGCTTTCCTCCCACATTAAGCCGACACGCCGCGATATAACTGGAATATTGTTAAAAGCGGCGTTAAACCCAACTCACTCACTCACTATACTTGTTGGAATTATTTTATTATGAACTGTCTCCGTGGTCTAGTGGTAGAGTGTCCACCCGGAGAGCGGAAGGTCCGGGATTTGATCCCGGGCCGCATCATACCAGAAGACGTTAAAAGATGGTACTTGTTGTTACCCTGTCTGGCGCTCGGCATTAAGGGGCTAAAACAAGGACTGGTCGGCTCGGAGTCAGCATACTGTGTCTGAGTGGGGTATTCATGTTGAACTGCGGCACGGTAATCTCAGTTTGCACTATAAATCGGCATCAGTCTGGACTAGTACAAGCAGCCACACAAACACATACACGTACATGCACGTCGCTATATAAGTGCAATAATCTTGGACGAGACGTTAAACCCAATTTCACCTCACCTATTATGAACATTCCATGGTTGATGTACACAGGTCCATTTGTCCTTAATGTGTTATACTCAAAGTGAGAACTATACTGAAAGGACAAAGAAATTCACCACCTCCACATTAAAAAAAACTTAGACCCAGATGTTAAGCCATAGGTTTTGCAGAACAGATCAAAGGTGTATTGTGTTATGGTAACAGTTTAACATCCTGCTGTGCACCTAGCAATTGATGTAGTGGTTGCAATCACACAAACATCACAAATCACGTACATTGATGCTCTTGATGTCAATCACTGGATTTTCTGGTCCAGACTCAATTATTTACAGACCATGTGTCATATATATAGCTGGACTATTGACAAGTGCTCATTAAACAAACAAACACTCTTGACGGATATGTACCTCATTGGGCATGTCTGGGAAGAACTTGGACAGGGAATCTATGCTTATCAGGGAGTGCTACAGTGGCAGGACTGGTCATGGGGTGGACGGCAATACCCAAGGGATTCTTCCACATTTTAGTGAACTCTATGAAAGGATGTTGCACTGTCTGTATTGACAAACAACACCCCGTTCTGAGATGAGCTTAAAACTACTACTCGGTTGATTTTGTTGAACTTCTGTTCAAGATCCAGCCATCTTCCATCACCTTCAATGAAACAGTGACAGATTGTTGCTTGTAAGACAAAATTGGTCTGGTGATCCTGTAAGAGCCTGTTTTGTCTATGAATTAAACAGGTTTATATTTACCGAATGAAATTTTTACTTTATTAGTCCTCGAAATTGGTGGCTACTTTCTTTGGCCTTTCAGTGCATTTTAGTAGGAGTTGATATAGCCTACTTGTCTGATATACCCAGCGTTAGAAATTGGCACTAGTCCTGTGGTCCTTGCCAAACTGCCCAATAGTTAAGGTATCATAAGGACTAGTAGAAATTTTCCATTTTTAAGGGTTTTGCCATATATTATCATTATAAGTTATATCACAAAAACTGTTACTTTCTACCGCTGTATTCCCATATTAGAAATAATGGAACCAAGTTGTTCAGGCTAACGAGCGAGGGATTCAGCCAATTGGCTGCCCCACATACCGCTAATGAGTGAAATCATCTGATGGTGACCTCATCTTTTTAAGAGAAATCTCATCTACAGCCATTAGACAGAACACATTTTTTCAGAAGAATTGGATTTTCATTTGGATGACAGTAAGTAGTGATTGTGCTTGCGTGCATGTGCACTGCAAATGCTTGCGTTGATAGTACATGTTTGTATATGCATGGATTCAATGTAATCTGGACCCGTGAAGATCTGGGGTAGAATAGGTCTTCAGCAACCCATGCTTGCCGTAAAAGGAGACTATGCTTGTCATATGAGGCGACTAACGGAATCGGGATCTCTTTGCTTGCCTATGCATAGTAAAATATGTAATGGTATAAAATGGATATGAAGATTTGAAATTTGAAACAACAAAACTAACACTGCAGGAAATGTTACACTGGAGGTTCATTTACATTATAAAGGAGTATGTCAGGTAACATTTGATATCCATGACGATGTACCCACCCATGAAGAGCCAGGTTAGAACGTCTTCAGCAACTGATGCTTGCAGTAAGAGGCTACTTGGCTTTTAAGAGGAGATCCGGGGTAGAACAGGTCTTCAGCAACCCATGCTTGCCGTAAAAGGCGACTATGCTTGTCGTAAAAGGCGACAAACGGGATCGGGTGGTCTGGCTCGCTGACTTTGTTGATGCATGTCATCGTATCCCAATTTCGTGGATCGATGCTCATAATATCAATCACTGGATTGTGTGGTCCAGACTCGATTATTTACAGACGGCCGTCATATACGTCATATAGCTTGATTATTGCTGAGTGCGTTAAACAACAAACAAACAAACAAACAAGCATTCAAGAGGCAACTAACGAGGATCGGGTGGTCAGGATTGCTGACTTGGTTGATGCATGTCTTTGTATCCCAATTGCGTTGATCCATGCTCATGATGTCAATCACTGGATTGTTTTGTCCAGACTCCATTATTTACATACGTCATATACCTTACGTCATATAGCTGGAATATTGGTGAGTGCGGCGTTAAAGAACAAACAAAACAAAAAATCAACAAAAACTAAGTATGGCCAATGGATATTGACTTTTTTTCAATAAAATGTTAGATAGGACAATTGTCACTTGTGATAGCTATGACAGAAGCTTCAAGTTTTTCAAAGCAGAAACTATTGAGGATGAACAGTGTTGCAAAAGTCTCATATTATTTACTCTCGTAAACTGAAATTATACATTGATATCTGTGACCACACGGAAGTAAGCTGTATCACGCCGGCTTGTATATGATATCAAGTCATGATCACACAAACCAGTGACTGAAAGCATGAGCAAGAATCTTGTTTTTTGGCTCTTATGGCCAGCAATGGATACCAAGGACCTATTATACTCTGTGGAATTCCTAGTTTCCTACAGGGTTCATTTGGAATGGCGAAAAACCTTCTTTAATGTGGACATTGCATTAGAAGTGTCATTATGGTCTGGTCGCATTCTATTAATAAAGAATTGTGATTCAATAGTTACAGTCAGGCTAGGTTTGTCAAGTAGGGCTGGGATGGGTAACTTGGGTACCCGGGTCAGGTGGGTACTGAGTAGGATCCGGGTACCCACAGGAATACCCGGACTCGTGGTTAGTCACGTGATATATTGTTTGATGAAAAAATTATCTATGGTTACACTACAAGTCACTAATGTTCACATTTCTTTCTGAATATGAACCCATTCCTTCTGATTTTTCATATGGTTGAATAAAGTTAAAACTTTAGTGTATGAATGACCAGATTGTTCAATACATGTATCTTAATACATTTTGCCAGGGCTATGCTAAAAAATTTCCCATTCGGACATTTTGTGACATCTCCTGAGGCTTACAGTGGGTACCCGGGTAGGGTCGGGTTATAGGGGGGTGGGTACCCGGGTAGTAAATTTGGACTCGTCCCAGCCCTATTGTCAAGCACTTTAGTCATTTCAAAATCATCCTTGTCCACAGTGGCGGAATTCATTCTTGATGTTATTTCATTAAAAAAAACTTCAATGACTGTGCATACAATATAAAAAGATGCGCTAATCTATACCTCATGATGTATAAACCTATTTGGTTATTAGATCTAACCTAGACTTACTGCCAGACAAGAACCAGAGTTCTGTAGCATCGTTTTAGGATGTTATTCACGCTTTTGATAATTTAGGAAGCACTAACTTTGATAAAATATAACAGCAAACAACAGTTTGAACAACAAAAACATTTATTTGTATAACTGAAACCATATGGAAATAATTAACAAGATGAAAAGTTAATGAATCCAACAAAATATCCTGGAACTTGTTCCAAAGAAAGCTTTAAACATTGTTGCTGGAGGTGAAGACTCTTTTGACCACTCGGATGACACGGGACATCATGGCTCTCAGGAAGGACGGCTGGGAGGATTTGTGTTTCTTCCTCACTGCCAAAATCTCAAATAAGTCAGTCTCAAGTTAATGTCAACCATATTATTGTCATGACCATCACAAAGATTGTATACATTTATTTATGAGTTATGAAAGCTAGGAAATAATTAGCAAGGAAGAAATATTTCCTATATATTTCCGAATTGTATTTGAATGGTACAGTACACAAATTATTATCATAATTATCCCGTAAACTGTAATTAGTTCTGCAGATATATAGTATACCAGTATATTATTGACATGTTTCACCTAATTCAATTCAATGTTTTGGTAAGAAATCGTTTGGGAACTTCATAGCATGCTGTTACCGAGCAACCATAATAACATGGCCTGTGATGTTCCACAAAATCAGCATCAAGAGCACATTAAATACATTTTTGTTTCAAGACCAGGGAGACAGGTGCTGAAAATCATGTCCAGGTCTTATGGCCCAAAGTCTACTGAGTTAGGACTTCTCTTCAAAAACTTTCCTGATACATCCCTATTCATGTTCTTACCATCCCTAATTTAAACACAATGTTCGAAGTTTTTTCGAGGAAATAATTGTCCTCAATGAGCTCGCATTATATATTTTATTATTCCACATATATATATATATATATATATTGAGGGGTAATTTTTGAGTGTTCTATGAAATTTGAACATTTAAACTGGCAAATCTGAAAACAGATTGGCTGAAGAGTGGCACAGCAGTAAGTGTTCGCTTGTCACACCCTGATCAAGGTTCGATTTCTAACATGAGTAATTTGTGAAACCTATTATTGGACTACGATATTTAACTATTGCATACGATATTCGCCA